TCTAACAATCTCATATGCTATAGGGAGAGTACACAAGCAAACCATTTCACCCCGAGGAGATAGAGAAAGGAAACGGAAGAAATGGATCAACAACGATTAAATCAGAGTAGTACAAAAATTTCCAGGGGGGGGGGGTGAGGGGAGTGTATATCTATCTTGTGTGTGAGTGTGTATGACCAAGAGATGGAGATGGGAAAGTATTGATAATTATGTACATCTAATGATGGTGGTGGTGGTGGTGGTGGTGGACTGTTAACGAGTGGTGTAACATAGAAGCATGATAGAGCGTTTAATTCACTTTAAATACATACAATCATACCTCCTCATGTCCTAGCCACCCAGAGCAAACACCCCTTCACCGGTGTGGCTTTCCTCTCCAGATCAAAAACCCCCACAACGTCATCTCCGTCCCACAAACTCCCTGCACAGTACCAGGCACAGCATCCCCATGCACGTATCATCTCAAGACAAACATGAACACACCCGTACACACAAACCTGCTGTACCACTCGCTTCAGAACAAGACAATGACGATATCGGGACAAGGTTCTTATTTGTTTGTTATTAGAGCTGAGCAAATTAATCTCCTTCCTATCTACAACAAGGTAGTGGTTGAGAAGCGATGAGGTATCGTTAATTCTGCGATCCCCACAGTAGTCATCATACAGATCTAGGCTAAAAATGCAACCTTCTCCCGTGTTTAAATCTTTGCTTGTTCCTCTTCGCCACGGCTGTATGTCCCCATGGCCTTGTACTTCCGGTATAATCGCTCCCCTGATCTTTCCCATCGTACACGTAAAAGTAAATCCTCAAGAAAGACAGCCTTCCAAACGCCACGGACGCCGCAGCCAATGCAAACTCCTGTAAAAATATGAGACCGTAGTGTTCGTTTGACATGATTAGAAAAGCTTCAGAGCCTTAAAGGGCAGCTTTTGTTGTGGGGACAGCCCCCTCGATTACTGCCGTGTCTTTTTCGCTCTTGGGTTCGTCAGGCTTCTGCTGCGAGATGCCATCCCGTCCTGAGGAAGATGACTTGCTGTGGCGCTTGAGAGCGTCGGTTCCCTTCTCTGTTGCTGTGGCAGATAGGACGGGTCCCTCGTTGGCTCCTTGTGCTGGCGGACCTGCTGCCTGGCCTGGACCTCCTGGACCTCCGGGGCCCTGCTTCTTCTTGATGCTGACCCACTCCATGCCAAATGCCATAAGCAAGGCGACCAGCACCACTCCGAGTGCTGCCAGGAATATGTGTCTGCATGCGAATTCGTAGGCGTCTACTACTTGAGACCTGTACTCGGGCCCTACTCTGTCAATGAGATGTGTGGCGCCTTCGGTCACAATGATCCTGGATCCGCCAATGCCAGGGATATCCTGCAACTGGGACACGAGAATGTTGCTGAGAATTGTTTGCCCGACCGAGGTGAAGACGGCACCACCCAACTGCTGTACGAAAAAGTTGATAGCAATTCCCGCCGGCATATCTTGCTTGGAGAGCACCGCCTGGACAGCAAGACCGCTAGTCTGCATGCCGAAGCCCACGCCAAAACCAGCCAGGAACTGGTAGGCGATCCAGTGAGATGAAGGACTGTCCTCTGTGAGGGTGCTGAGAAGGCCCTCACCGATCGACATCAAAATGGGCGCCACGATCATGGACGGCACATAGTAGCCAATTGCCTGGGTGGCAAACCCGGAGCCTATGCTGGAGAAGACCAAGCTGAGCACCAGTGGCACAGTGTAGATTCCCGACTTTATCGGATCGACTTGCTTGACCGTTTGGACTAGTATCATGTCAGCACAACTCCCAAAGCTGGACCGAATGACAACCTACACCAGATTGGCACATAGTACACCAGCATTAGCATGGATCCTGATAGGAAGAATGTGTAGAGGGTGCCAAAGAACACACTCCTCTGCGTAATTACCCTCGGTGGAATGGTTGCGGTCTCGGGCAGCTTGATTTGAACCGTGGTGTAGGCGATAGAGCAGAGTCCAAAGAAGACAAACAGTACAATGATGCGCCAGTCGTTCCAATCATAGGTCGACCCACCCCATTGCAAGGCAATGAAGAGACAGACTATGCCCGGGAAGAGAAACAGTATACCAATGGGATCCAGGCGTTTGACATGTTGGCTGAAAGGGGCCGGCGGATGATCCTCCGTTTTGGGAGTCCACCACCACCAGAGAAAAACCGAGGCGACGGCACCAATTGGGAGGTTGATGTAGAAACACCACCTCCAGGTAGCTCCTCCGGTAAAACCACCGCCGACAAGAGGACCCATCACAGACGCCAACCCAAAGACCATACCAAAGAGGCCTTGGAACTGGGGCCTCTTATGCAGTGGAACCATATCGATCAGAACCAGAAGTGTGCCGGAAAAGATGCCGGCTCCGCCCAAGCCGGCAATGGCTCGACCCAGGATGAAGACAATCGAGTTTGTAGCGGATCCGCAGATAGCCGAGCCGATCTCAAAAACCAGAATGCTTGTGAAGAAAGTCCTAAAGTCCTCACTGAGGTCAGTAACGTGTCCACTCGCACACGAGTTTCACAATGACGTACCACTTCTTGTCGTAGAACTTATAAATGCGGCCGAAAACCAGTTGGGCACAGGCCGTCGTCAGCATGTATGAGGAGCCATACCAACCAATATCGCCCAGAGAATTAAACTCGTCCGTAATTCTCGGGACAGCCGTGGCGATGATGGTGCGATCCAGGGCCACCAAGAAGAGGGCGAGAAAGTTACACAGGATCGTGACCCAGAATTTGACACTTTTAGGCTTGTAGAGGTCCTCATCCCCCCCGACAGCCGCTCCCGGAGGACCTGAAGCCGGGGCAATCTTCTCGACGTCGCTCATCTGAGGAGTCGAGGTGTCGGTCTGGGTGACCTGTCCCGACTGCCCGCTCCCGCTGCCGAGCGAAGTCAGAGATCGCTTTTCGGTAGCCATGGTGGGCAGATATCCGAGACGATCGGAGACGGCAGAAGTTGCGTAAGGCCGCTGAGATAATTGGCGAAGAAGGCGTGTGAGAGGTGAGGCGTGACCAGCCGAACCGTTTGAACAAACTTGGACCCACGAGGAAATGAGGTTTGAGGGAGCGTATGTAAATAGGGGCGCGGCAAGGGAGCGAGGTTCGAAGGGAGTGACCTTGTGCAAACTTTAAAATAAAATACCTGACCTGGGTAGGTAGGTATTGCTGCTGCAAGACTCAGACTCAGACTCTGGCGGGTGGGCGAGACAGGAATGCGTCTCGGGCCTATTGCTGCGCGCGGCCAGAGACAAGATGTCGTCAGGTAGGAAGAGAGCGAGCGAGCAGCCTGGATTGGGGTATATGCCCCCGGGACGGAAGATGAGCGAGGTGACGGCCACGAGCAACATCGACAAGCCACAGCCTGGAACTGGAACTACAGCGCAACCGATACCGCAGAACTCTTGTGTTATATAGAAGCTGCGACCTGGCCGGTGCCTGCCTCTTGCGAGAAGATCAGAGCAGCCATTGTCCCCCCGAAGCCAGAACTCCGCCAGTTAGGTTGGGTAAACAAGAACTTAGGTTGGAACTAAGTATAAGCAATCTATCCGGGCCGTGTCAAATGTAGGTGCAGCGGACATGAAGCACCGGTCGTTGCAGCACTCTGTTTCGTTTAGGCCTCTTGTCTCGCTCATATTGGGCGATTGGATATTGTGATGCGAGGCCGTCGTTATTTGGACCTGGAGTTTCCCCAGACGGGTCCGGTGGTCGTGTAAGCGATCTATCTACCTGGTACAATATACCCCGGCTTCGCAACAGCGCTCCTAGTGCTAACGGTTCTTTTTAGTGTGGAGGCCCCTTCTTTGTGGGCATTGACCAATCGCGACTAGCGCCGGCATCTCGCTGAGCTAGTCCCTGTTGGTGGAGAGCGCCCAGACCGGGCATGAGCCACGTCCCTTCGGTCCCGAGACATGTTCCTTTCTTTGTTGAGACCTCACTGACAGCTGTTTCCCAGCGATTCACAGCTGACATGCGCCGGCCGCGTATAAATCCCGAATCTCCAAGAGCGCCCCCCTCTCTCTGCCGCTGCTCCTTCCCACGATTGGGACGATGTGTGCTGCCTTGTGCAACTCGAGCGCGCCAGTGGCATCCCAATCAGGGTGAGGGGGATGACATGTGTGTGTGAAGACACCCACATCCACTCCTTGACTCCTTCCTAAGCGGAGGTGGCCATGGAGGCATTGGCGGTATGGTTAGCAGGAAGGAGCTCTTCTTCATCTGGCAGCAGCAGCAGCAGCAGCCTGCCTGCCTGCCTGCCTCGTCCCTTCCGGGTTCCTTTCTTACCTTAACCAGATCCAGATCCAGGACAGCAGGGGCAACTGCTCGGCAGCAGCTTACCCTGCGTCAGTTCTTCATCGAATTGTGTCTCCCCGTTTCTTCTTCAGGTTCCATCTTCACCTCCGTCGTCGCCGCCGCCCCCTTTTCTGAATTTGCTCTCCCCCCCAGTGCCCTCTGTTCGTTCCACCGTGGTGGTATTGCTTGTTATTTGCTGCTGCTACATACATACATACATTACATACATTGGATATTCCATTCCCATTGTTCTCCTGTACACGGGGGTCTGAGACCCGCAGGGCATCATCCATCAAATCCCCTTCATCGCAGCTTCCTCGAGCTGGGTGCCATCCCAAGAGGACGGACGGCGCAGCCACTCTGGAATGGTCCGACCTGCCTATTGACAGCTGCCAATCTCGCATTTTGCTGTCGCCCGGTGTTGCCTTGTTGCGTATCGTCCATTTCGCCAGTCGTCAACCACCAGTCATCGGCCATCGGTAGTCGGTCGTCGCACCTCACTTTGCCCGCGCATCGGCAGTCAAGACACCCCCCCTGGCAGGACAGGCAGCAGAGGGAGGCATTGTTCGGCCCATCCTCACCGACTGCGCCGACTCGTGCAGCGATCGCCCATCTTTGACATATACCATCACACATACCTGACCTCTCTGCCTTGCCTTGCCGACAGAGACCAAACATCCAGCCGGTCGGATACCTTGCGGCTCTGCCCATCGCTCCGACGGTGTTGGCCAGATCTTGCTGGCTGAACCTGGCCGAGCATTGGGGGGAGGGACCAGAGCGAAGCGCGGCAGACCTGCATCGCTTCCTACATTCCAGTTCGTCGCTTCGGGCCCGAGCGGTTCACCCGCGCTTCCGGTATCGTTCGAGAAACGACCGTCTACCAGGTCGGCCCATATTACCCACACCATGGCCACAGAACAGCATCTGGAGCAGCCGCCGTCGCCCTCGCGGCTCCCAATCACTGGTTCCGAGCCGTCGGTGATGAAGTTGACGCGCGGTCACTCATGCGTGCTGTGTCAACAACGCAAGGTTCGATGTGACAAGCAAAAGCCTTGCGCCAACTGCCTCAAGGCCCAGGTCGAGTGTCGCGTCGTGCCCCCACAGCCACCAAGACGCAGGAAGAAGAAGCCGCATGAGAGGGACCTCATCGAGAGACTTCGGAAATACGAGCACTTGATGTCCCAGCACGGCCTCTCCTTTGAACCCATCGCCCAGGACCTCAGGCCCTCGGACAATGGAGACGACGTTGCCGATCTGGAGCAGGATCTGAGCGGGCTCAAGACCTCGCCCTCAAGCACCGCCGACCATGTCTCGCCAGATCAGGCCAATGACAAGTCAGTCTGCCCCCTAGAGAGGCAAGAAACACCGGGTCTTGCTGCGAGCTGACACTGCAGTGACCTTAGACCGAAATGGTATCCCAATAACAGCTACTACAAAGACGTAGGTTGCGGTCTTTTTCATATCTCTTGTCACAGATGGGCCCCCACACTTTCATTCCTACCAAAACGCCGTGCCAGCCACCCACATGCCTGGCTTGCCACCACCAGACGGTTTAGTTTGATCTGATATATCAGATTGCTCCGGAGTGCCTGACATGTCACTAGCAATATCGCAACGCCGACGATGACTCCTCGGACGAGGACTACGAGGGCCCAACGCTTCACCATGCCTACGATGCCATGTTCGACAACAACGATGGCTTCCCCTTCGTCGTGGGCGGCGCAACGCAAAGCGTGACTAGCCACCACCCACCAGCCATCCAAATGTTTCAGCTCTGGCAAATCTACATCAGCAATGTCAACCCTCTGCTCAAGATCAACCACACACCGACACTCCAAGCCCAGATCATCAGTGCCAGCACGGCCATCAACAAGATATCGAGGCCCCTGGAGGCCTTGATGTTCGCCATCTACTTTGCCGCCATCACATCCATGAATGACGACGAGGTTCAAAGTACCTTTGGCGAAGACAAGGCAGTCTTGTTGGGAAAGTACCACCATGCCACCCAGCAGGCACTTGTCAATGCTGGCTTCATGCGCTCGACCGACCTGGCCGTGCTCCAAGCCTTGTTCCTTTACCTGGTGCGTTTCTGACCCTATCCCAGTTAGTCTCGCTGATCTCGCTGTACTGACATCACCCAGCTCTGTGTTAGACAATATGTAGACCCACGATCCCTGTTTTGCCTGATCGGTATGGCGGTCAGAATAGCAACGAGGCTGGGAATTCACCGCGACGGAGCTCAGTTTGGTTTGACACCGTTTGAAACGGAACAGCGGAGACGCCTGTGGTGGCAGCTCGTCATATTCGACAAGCGAGTGGCGGAAATTACTGGTTCATCCATCACCGCATTGTCGACATGTGCAAGCGACTGCAATTTTCCCTCCAACGTCAACGATACAGACTTGAGCGTCCACGCCAAGGACCATCTGCCCCCGCACCATGGGCCGACGGAGATGGTATTTTGCCTCACCCGCATCGAGCTTACTGTAGCATCCAGCCAGACCGGCAACATGCGTCCTGGGCCCTCCACTCCCGGAGGCAGACCCGGGGTCAACAACAAGGCGCAGAAGGTGCAATATAGCCCTTCTCCATCCTCCCCGGACCTTGTCACCCATGTGGCCAACCAGACGCTGCCTCACGACCTGGCCAGTTTTCACCTGTATATTGAGAACAGGTATCTGAAGCATTGCGACCAACGCATCCCTCTTCACTCGTTCACATTGCTCATGACGCGCCAGGCGCTTTCCAAGCTCCGCGTCATCGACTTTTTGACTCGTAGTTCGGGGATCGAGAGTGTCAACCCAGCCGAGCGAGAGGAGCTTTTCATAGAAGCCATCAGGACGGTTGACTTAGACAACATGATCCAGAGGGCTCCGGAACTGCAAGGGTTCCGGTGGTATACATACCAGCATTTCCCATTTCCCGCCTACATCTTTCTCATATCGGAGCTTAGAGTGCGAACGACGGGTAGCTTGTGCGAGCGGGCGTGGGACGCTATGATCGAAAATCACGACCGCCGGGGGTTACTTAGGAGGAATCTCCGGTCACCGTTACACATTGCGTTTGGACACTTCTTTGTGAAGGCGTGGGATGCGAGAGAGCAGGCCGAATTGCAGCTGGGGAGAGTGTTGCCAACGCCCCAGATTGTGACGCTGCTGAGGAACACGGTCTCCAAGATGAAGAGGCCGACGGGGCCGCCGTTGGATGGAGGTGACCATCAGGCTAGTGTGCCCGGGCCGCCTGTCGCTCTGCCGCCGCCAATCGTCGGTGGGAATGACCCGCCACCGGGACTGTATCCAGGAAAGGGGATGCCGTTGACCCCCGAGACAACGGGGCCGGTGCCCGGAGCGGGGCCGCAGGTAGGACCGCCGGGAGGACCAGGACCAGGGATGATGGCAATGGGTGATGCGCCCGTCATGTTTAATGGATATGAAGGCCTGAACCCCTTGTTCAACAGTGCCAGTGGACCTGGACCGGGAGGTGGACAAGTTGGCGGACCTGGGGGAGGAGGAGGGCCAGGTGGGATGGAAGAAATGGACTTTGGGCAGATGGACTGGAACTACCTGGTGCAGTACAGTTCTTTTGGGGCGTTCAACCCTGCTTATTACCACCAGGGCGGCGCGGGTCCTGCGGGGAGTCACCCATGAAAAACAGGGAACAGGAGGGCGGCTACCTGCGTCTACGGGCAGCGCCAGAATCCCGGGTGGCGTTTAGGTTTGGGGACTTGAGTGCCGCGCAGTGGTGGATGCGAGACCTGCAGATGCGGGCGAACTACCTAGGCGGACGGGCGTCGGGAGGATGACGACTTTGGAGTCCAAGCGAGGATGTATGACTCGGTCAAGTTCGGTTCGGGTTCGGGTGACTGAGGTGACTGTTGGTGTTTTTTTCCTGATCGGGATGGAAGAGGAGGTAAGATGGGAGGAGAGAAAGGAAGCACACCACTCACTTTTTTTATTTGATGTTGGTTTTTTTGTCCATGATATTCATATGGCGGGATGGAGAGATGTTGTTGATGATGTTTTGGAACTGTTTGGTGGTTTCAAGGTTTAAAAGAGATAAAGCGCGTGTGTGTGGTGGTGGTTCTCTTTTTTACTTCTTGATGATATATTGTTTTTTTGTTCCTGTTGGGTGTGAAGGTTGTCTATACCATGAAGCAAGAAGTTTCTTATATTAAAGTTAGGTTTCTTTTATTTTTGTTATATATGAATATAAAATGGAATAAAGGTTATATACCGCTCTAATACTCATTA